TGAAACCGAACCGAACCATCAGTTTATGTTTTTTTGTAACCCGAAACCGACCAATGCTAAAGAAAAACCGATCAACTCAAATTGGATCGAACCGGGTTGATCGGTTTGGGTCTTGTTATGAACAGTCCTATCTTTCACAATGTAATTTTCAAAACCTCAACTATGGTTTGTGATAGTCTTCAGATGCTACATTTCATTATGGCTGTCTATTGAATTTGAGAATAGACAGTTGGAAACTATTTCCCCAATTAAGATAAGATAGAAATTAGATCATTTGATATCAATAAAAATGATCGAATATTGATTTCATCCAAAATGATATCATCCCCGGCTGTTTAGGAAAAATGAAGCTGATCCAAATTCCAAACTGGTAAAATTGACAGCCCAAAACTGCTTAGCTAAGGGCATATACAATTTTGGTGGTCGATCATTGATTCTTATCATAAAAAAGAATCGGGATTTGCTCTTACACTCACCGTGTATTGAAAACTTATTCTATGAATAAAAAAACATTAGTACAGGAGATGTTCTCAACGTGCAGCTGAAACATGTTGTAAGATTGGTGCGAGGAGTGCTATGTGAGGAGCAGATTTGGACTCCATATAAAATACTTGATCGATCTTCTGTTAAATCAAATAAAACACATACGCATTGGCATATTTGTATGTAGGGATGTCAATTGGACTGGATTTGGTCTAATCCGGTCCAGTTCAATGTGAGTCCATTACAAATGGACCTAGTCCAATCCAGTCCAATGAATATTTTGGACCATTTTGGACCGATCCAAAGACTGTTCAATCTATTCAAATTGCTGTTAATTTAGATTGGTTTCAAATCAAACCTGGTCCATTGACAACTATGTTCTTACACGCACCAGATATTGACTCAATCCAATATAAATTCATTATGGACGGATCAGGTCAAATCCAATATGTCATATTGGTCCATCCAGTCCGTCCAAATTGAATGTCTTGTTGGTCCATCCAATCCATCCAAATGGATTTTGATTTGGACGGATTCCAACCCAAAACTGGTCCATTGACACCCCTATTTGTATGAAAGGATCGACCGGCCATTCAGATCACCAAAGGCTTCTATGACACAGAACTTACCATGTTTCTGCCCACACTTTGAATTAGAAACCTGTTCGTTCACTCCTCCACATTACGCCTTTACCCCACCATGCATTGGGGCTCATCAAACTCTAGTCCCACTAGAAAAGAAAATAAACACAAGTCCCAACGGTCAACTTAGGATTACTCGGCTGAAACTTGCTTAATATGATCTTTTTTCTAAGGGCCTGTTTGGTTTACAATCAAATCAGAGTGGAAATCTGTCAAAATCGGAATAAGAACGGTTTATTCCCATAGTCTGTTTGGTTCAAACAGGAATCAAAACGGGAATTGAAATCAGCTGAAATGAAATTTCATTTCCAAAGGAGTGGAGAGAATGGACATTCCCTTAAATGGGGGAACGCCATTCCACCAGGAATAGGAATAGGATTCTGATTCTGCCCAATCAAAAAGTTGGAATCAAAATGACCCATTCCAATTCCAATTCCAGACCCCTATTACCACAAGCCAAACAGGCACTGAGTTCTAACCATCTAATTGGTGCGTCCCATTTGGACCCAGTTAAGCTTTCTATGGATAAACTGGTTTGAAACAATTGAATGGAATGCCCATCCCAATTCTCTGGTCTCCTCAATGCAGTTTTTACACTTCAATGTTAGCATTACCTTAACCATAAAAAATGTTTACGTTTGGCTTGTGTTTGGTTTGATAGGAAACAAGAGAGACCGAAAGTTTGGTGAAACTTCTTAAGAACTTTCTCTCGACTTTATGGTAAACAATCCTCTTCGTATGTCCCAATGAGAAGTGATGCACAACTTTTGATTAATCTCTTGTTGGATGATACCCTTATCCCTCCATGGAGTATCTACACTCTTCTTATGGACTGCAAGAGATTCCTATCCCACCTTCAAGCCTACTCAGTTACTTTTGCTCCCCGGCTTTGTAATCAGGTTGCCCATAGACTCGCTAAACATGCTTTGTCTTGTTATTCTTCCACGGATGGGAAGAATTATAAGGACTGCCATATTACACTCTTAATCACTAGCTTCAGCAACATAAGAAGAATGAATAACAGAATTTCAAAAGGGTGAAAATGGTGATTGGTTGGAGAAGGAAGAAGATATATCTAGGGTGTTTGTAATCACTTTGAAAATCTCTTCGAGTCCTCTAATCCTGCTTTAATCCCAAAGGTCAAAAAATCCAAGGGAGAATGACTGATCAGTCCAGGTCAGAGTTTTTTAGCCCCATCGTACAGGGGGATGAATCCTGACCGTGGATTGATGCCAAATCCACAGGCAAGATGAGGCTTGTAGGGGGGGCTACTAGTAGACTATGGGGGGTTGTAATTCAGAATTCTGCATTGAGCTGCAGTGTACTTAACCCAAAATCCAAAGGATGCTTCCCAGTTCAGGCCAACAAGTCTATGCAACTTAGTCTGTAAGGCCATTGCAAAGATTTAGGTTAATAGATTAAAGCCTATTCTTGGGAATACTGTTTCTATTAATTAGAGTGCTTTTGAAGGTCAATCCATGATAATCTTCCCTTAGCTCATGAGGTAATCCACCATATGTAGAAAATAAAAAGTAAAATGGATTAATATGGCCCTAAAACCTGACATGAACAATGCATATGGCAGAGTGGAGTGGATTTTTCTTAGAAAGGTCATGGAGAAACTAGACTTTGGTGAGAAGTGGATTAGTTGAGTGATAGAGTGTATCCCCTTAGTTCCCTTTTAGAGTTTTCATCAACGGAAGTCTAAGTAAGAAGTTTTACCTTGGGAGGAGAATTAGGCAAGGGTCTCCTTACTCCTACTCTATTCTGATGTTTTCCTCTTCATTGATTAATAATCCAGTCAGTCAAAAATTCATCTCGAATGTAAGAATTAACAAGCGCTGCCCAGTTGTTTTTCACCTGTTTTTTGTAGGCAACTGCTACATTTTATCTAAAGCTAAAATCAGGCAAGGTCTTCATAATCTTTGGAACGACGGGTGAGCTATTCCAAGTCTAAAGTTTTTTTCCATTTACAACTCACAACCTGATCCTAGATTGCAAAAAGGTGGTTGCTAAATTCATGAATATTGAAAGAATTCCGAAACCAGCCACATATCTATGTTTACCTATGGATATTGACAGAACACAGTACTCAGATCTGGAATCATCTGCTGCTCTCCCCTATGGGAAATAAGTGCTCCTATAATCTATTGTTAACTCTCTACCTTCCTACAACATGTCTTGCTTTCTAATTCCTAAGAATATCTGTGGAAAAAAATCCAAATAATGTTCTGGTGGGGAAGTAGGCTTGAAAAAAAAAAAAAGAAAATCAATTGGATCAGCTAGGAAAGTATGTGCAAGAATAAACTAAATGGAGAATTAGGTGTTAAGGACCAGGACCCTTACTAGTTTAATATTGCTTTCCTTGCTAAACTTGCTTGGAGACTGTACATTGTTAAGAATTTCTTTGGGGCAGCTGTAATAAAAGGTAAATATTTCACTAGAAAGAATTTCCTTGATGATAGGCTTCCTTCAAAGGGATCCTGGGGCAGAAAAGCCTTCTGGCGGTAGAGAGCTGCTTAAGAGCTTGTTGGACTGAAAATAAAGAGGACAACATCAAAATTTGAGATTCAGCTTGGATCCCAAGCTTAAAAAATTTCAAACCCATGGATCCAGATCTAGGTCCAGGGGGTCCTTCAAAGGTTTGCGACTTGATTATTCATAATGAAAGATGGAACCTTGAAATTTTTAATAATCTATTCTCTAATGAGGTGGTGAACAAGACTTTAGATATCAAGCTAGCATCTTACGATTGGGATGACAAGCTGGTTTAGGTACAGAGTAAAGATGAGTCTTTCATTGCAAAATCCGCATATTTTCTGGCCAAACAGGACAAGGCTCTGCTGAGAGAAATGCCAGAACTACTATCTCAAAGGAACAATGGAAATCTTTGTCATTCATTCCTATTGACCAAAAAGTAAAGTTTTTCTTTGGAAATGCTGTTTGAATGCAATAGCACTCGATCAAAACCTCTTTAAAAGAGGCTGCAGAGTGAGTCTAATCTGTACTTTGTGTTGCTTAGAAGAAGAGCCAATTCTGCATTCTCTATGCTTGTATGAGAAAGCAAAGTGTGTTTGGTTTGGTAGAATGCTTTCATTAAGGATGGGTTTTGCTTATTGTTTCCCTTCTTTTTCAGCTAGTTTGTTAGTTGGATGTTGTGGTTCAGAAGTTTTCTAAAAGTGTTTCTAAGGAGTTTTTAGCCTACACTGCTATTTGTTTATGGTCTATTTTAAAGGCTCATAGTGCACCTGTCTTGATTCTGTCAAATGCCAACAGAGCATTTCAGGAGCAGATGAATATTTTACAGACCACCTTGGAAAACTCTTCCCCAGATAATGGTTCTGTTTCTAGAGATTTTGCATTGCAGCTTCCAAATGAAGAATGGGTAAAAATTAACTCTGATGTAGGTTTTCTGAATGGCGGTATATGCTGGTTTCTGTGTTGCTGTTCTTTTTTGGCCCTCTTGCTGCTGCTTCTCCAATTCAGCAGATGGCATTGAAAGAAAGTATCCTGCTTGCTATCAAAATGTGCTGGCAAAAGGTTGTGTTTGAGTCGGACTGTCTGCACCTTATAAAGGTTATCTTTGGGGGCAGCTAATACTGTGTTTTTTGTTAAAAGATACAGTATCTCTGTCTAGTCTATAATCTAAGTTGTGTTTTATTAACAGGGAAGGTAATACCACTGTGCATTATTTAGCCCAAAGTGGTCCTTGGGACAGAGAGGAGTGATTTTTTTTATCCCGCCTAGGTCATTGACCTGGTGAGACTCCATTTGTATCAAATTGCCTTTATTTGTTTGAATGGACTAGCTTTTTTACCAAAAAATAAATAAAATAAAAAACAGTAAGTCAAAAATCTCATTGAACTATTGTATATGTAGCTTTGCTTAGACCATGGTGGCATCATCAAACTACCAAGAATTTAAAGCATTATGAATGCAAGATGTTCCACACACCCAAGTCTGGAGCTTACAAAGAAAAGCCGGTTCTGGTTTTCCAAGAGTGAACAAAGACATTTGGATACAAGAGAGAGAAAATGAACTGAAGACAAATATACAAAGCAAACCCTCAAGCAAGCAGTTGAAGCAGCCCTTTGATTTATATTTTTCATTTCTTCAACACACTGTAACAAACCAAGCAAAAGAAGATAATGAGAAGTCTTTCAGAAAGTATAGCAAAACCAATTATGAAACTCAACATAACAGATAATTAAATCATTTTTTATAGATGACTGAATTTCATTAGATTAATAAAAAAATAATTACAGGATTGGGAGAGGTGAACTGTCTTACCTCTCCACAACAACCATGCAATTACAAAAGAGCCCAAAACAAATGATTCCTTCCCACCCCTTGCTTAGCTAAAACATCAGAAAGGGCATTTGCAGTTTTTTTAACCCAGCTGAATTGCACTTCCATATCTTTTGTCAGCCATTTAAATCTCTTTTTCTCATTGTTTTAAATCCAGAGAAACCCTTGTCTTCCTTTTGCAACCATTCCACCACCAACTTTGCGTCACCTTTGATAATCAACTTCCTAACATCCAGTTCCTTTGCCTTTTGCACTCCTTCCATGACAGCCATTATCTCAGCCCATAGAGTGTAGCCTACTCCAATAGGGCTTGAATATAGTCCAATAACTCTGCCTTCACCATCTCTAAAAACCACTCTGATACCAGAAGGACCCGGGTTTCCAGCACTACTCTCATCAAAATTCAATTTAATGTAATTAACGTTGGAGGAGACCAAACAGGACTTATATCGGATCTATGACAATCAGAGCTGGCCACTTCCATCCATGAGTTCAAGATATCACCTGTTGAGAAGTTCGCAAACATATCGATAGATTTAAGCCAATGAATCACTCTCACTATAATGGTTTCCAAGATAACTTCTCCATTTCTTTCCCTTCCTGAAAACAATCTTGCATTCCTCTCTTCCCATATGGTCCGACTTACAGCCGCCCTAACACATCTCCATAAGACTCGTCCCCTTTTCTTTGGCCACCTCAAGAAAGAGGAATCAAACACGCTTTGCACATTAGTCAGGGGAGACCACTTGCACCCAAATAACGAGAAAAACCATTTCCCAAATAGAAGTAACAAAGGGGCAGGAAATTAAAAGGTGAAAGCAAGTTTCTCCATTATCCTTACACATGACACACCAGTGAGGAGATAAGCGCAAAAATGTTCTTGGGAGTTGGGAGTAAAGCACAAGTATTAATTCTTTTCACGAAGACTTCCCAACAAAAGATAATTAAAGCATTTCCTAGGCTACTGCTTCTGCCTTGTAATAAAAGAAATCAATGAGCCATGAAAACGGGAGAGAGAGAGAGAAGGCATCACACATCTTACACATACAGTGAATACATGCAACTGCATGTGCCTAAAAACCCCACTGGTGGTAATATTGTCATATAGGTTGCAATAGATGAATCTGGACTTGATCCATTGATAAATGGAAATACCACATTCAAATAGGATCCAGAACATTAAATTGATCCATTTACAGACAATGTACCGGTATAGATGCAAAGGGTGATCCCAAAGGTGCTAGGTTGTATGGTAAAAATGTCCCAAGTGGGAGCTTCTGGATCTGCCTCTGGCAAGGGCTTGATTTACTTGGACCAACAATCAGGACCCTCCCTCGTTGGTGAGATTGGATCGCTTTATCATTTCTACTGAGTGGGAGGATTTGTTCCCACAAACTTTACAGGAGGCTCTGCCAAGAGTAATATCTGATCATACATACCCCTTTACTGTTAGATACTGGGGGTATTACAAGAAAATCTTCTCCTTTTAGGCTGGAACATAGATGGTTCGAGTTGGATGCTTTCCAGGAAAAACTGCAGAAATTGAAGGCTCAGATTAAAGAGTGGCAGATTTCTCAGTTAGAGGAGGCAAAGAAACGGAAAGAAATCTGTGTTCAAATTATTTCTGAAATTGATAGGGAGGAAGAGACTTCCTCTATAGATGAGGCAAAGAGGAGAAAAAGAGGGCAAGCTAAGCAGGAGTTTGATAGGCTGGCTTATCAAGAAGAAATTCATTGGAGGCAGTGTTCCCAGGTGCAGTGCTTGAAGGAAGGTGATAATAATACTTCCTTTTTTCACAAAATGGCAAATGAGAGAAGAAGAATAAATATTATTATCTCAGTGGCTTCAGCAGTTCGAACCAGAGGAAGAAGAAGAAAAGGAACAGTCGAATCTGATGGCTTAAACCCTATCAGTCGACCCTAATATGAATTAGCCTCTAATTAGTTGTACAAAGACAAAACTGCCCCCCCCCCACTTAAGTATGGGACAGGAAGTCTCTATCAAAACTGCCACATAAGCACATAACTTAACAGAAATAAAATGATTGATCTACCCTTATTCGGCTAGCTCTAATTCTCCCCCTCAAGCTGGAGAATATATGTCATATAATCCCAGCTTGTTACATAAATAGTTCACTCCCCCTGAGCTTAAGCCGTTTGTAAACAAATCTGCCATTGATCACCTGAGCCCACATGTTCTGTGCTTATCTCTCCAGTAAGGACCTTCTCCCTCACAAAGTGGCAATCAATCTCTATGTGCTTTGTTCTCTCATGAAAACAGGGTTAGATGAGATGTGGAGTGCAGCTTGATTGTCACAGTACAATTTCATAGGTCTATCCATGGAGAACCCGATTT